CCCCACTTTCTTTTTGTCATCTTATCAATATGTAAAAAAATATGTAAATGATGATGTACAACAAATATTTTTCTATATTCAATTCTACTATAGTGTCATTACCTATGATATGTTGTCGTCTGAAATTATGTACCAATCCAATGAGCAACCGGATGACCTAATATATTAATCGGATCAATATTTTTCAAATTGAATCTAATAGCAATTGTTTCTACTAATGCATATTGTTGCCTCTCGAGGCATATTCTAATGATGCAAAAGGAAGGAGTGAGGTAGTCTCGGCCTTATTTACAATCGCAGTGTGAGGGTTCGATTCTTGAGATATGGAATTGGATTCTTTGTGGGCACCAGTGTACTGACAATCTCTTGTTCTCTAGCTTGTTGGGACACATTCCTCGATTTACCTTTCTCACGATACTCCAGAGGCGAGCAGGGCGAGACCCTCAAGGTTGGAGTCCAACCTTTTACTAATGCATATTGTTCATGTCGAGTTGAGTTATCAACGTCAAGTTACTTGAAATGATGTGTCATCCTAATCTGGCCATCGAGTCAACTCTATGCTAACCAATGTTAAATTATTGATAACTATAGTTCAATTATTAAACCCAATGACATTCATACATCTCAATCTTTTATAATTAGCCTTTGTTTCGTTCCTATTATTTTCAAAATACATTTTTCCATCACTTCTTTTCAACCATACATTCTTCAATAAAATAATAGTATACATAAATCGAAATTTTTTTTTATTTTTTAATCACACATTTTTCATCAATCTACTATTTGAAAATGCAATATTCTCTAAAAAGGGGCTCAACTAGGCTCTTAATTGTAGTTCCAATAAGTTATCTGTAGTTCGACTTTGTCCACGAATCTCTACCTCATATGTTTGCTAATTCCAATTGCAAAAAGCACAAGAAATCAAGTATACTTGACAAAATTCCATGAACATGCCCTTTTTCCTTTTTTATTTATTTATTTATTACAATATGACATGTATAGATCGATATTTATTATAATACATAGGTTCTTCAACAAAAACTAAATGCCCTCCCCTATTCCATGTTTGTCTGTATGCTTTACTAATGTTCTTGTATTATAACGATATGATATTAGAATATTAATCTCTGAGAATATACATGTTATATCAATACAATTATACAATAAAAAAAATTAATTTTTTTCTTTAATATTGTTCATAAGTATACATTTGATGTTACCAAATAAGTAATTATTTTTGAGAAGGCAGTACTTGTATTTCCATCTAGGTCGCTCTTTTTTGTTTAGTAGGGTGGTATGTGTTATTATTCGTTTTTCGACTATAATTCTACTCTAATAAAAAAGACTCATATTTTTCAAGTTTCATTAGAAAACAATTTCATTTGTCTTAATTGAAGAAATAATCTCCTCTATTATTTTTAATGTAAACTAATTGAAATGCTAATGCCTTGAAATCTCAGTTTTTAGCTCATCATCAACTCATGAACTTCACTTGTTTTGAAAAAAATTATAATTAATTTAGACAAAAATAGTCTCTTGCTCTGAATAATTTATTATTTCCCCATGCTTGACATATTGAATGCTTCCATTTTGTGGAGCCCACTTAGTGCAAATTTTAATTATAAGATGCTAATCATTTTAAAGATACGTCCACCCACCATTCACCAACAAATGAATTTGAGAAGGAATACTCTTTTGTTTGATTCCACATTTCCACTTTATGTCTAATTAAATCTCCAATAATATATATCCAATATATATTTAATAAAATCTGTTTTTCGATACTTTCTCTTTTAATTCACACTTTCTTCTACATGTCAAATTCATTATTTTGCCAAAAATCTCGATAGTAATGAGACTTGAACTCAAAATGGTGAAATTTAATAGGTATCTAATGAATTTATTGATTTTGAATAGATTTTTCATCTTTAGTGATATTCTTACTAATTTTGTACAAATCAATTCAAATTCAAAAAATTCATTAAAATTTATAATCTTTTAAAACCTAATAAATTTCAATCGAGGGCACATTTGATATTTAAAAATAGGCATTCGGCCGGGGCAAAGTTTGTATTATTGGTGCATAATTTTGGCCCATTTTTAGACATTATTGGAACGTTGCACAGTGCATGCCAAATTCAATTGATTAAAATTCTGATAACAAAGGACAATTACATGTGGAAAACGAACAATGAGTCCAAAATTGAATCAAGATAAAATTAATGCAAGTTAAGTAAAATTCAATACTAAAGTGATACAAAAACTTAGTAATATGACCCATATAATATAAATCGACAAAAATGCACTTATCATGTACGAGAGGCAACCCAATGACCTAATATTTTAATCGGATCAATATTTTTCAATCGAATTTAATAGTTATTGTTTCTACTAATGGTTATTGTTAATGTCTTGTTGATCAATCTCACATGAGATGACGTTTCATCCAAATCCGGCCGTCGATTCAACTGTATGCTAACTAATATTAAATTATTGATAACCATAGTTCAATTATTAAACCCAGTGACATTTCTTGCACCTCAATTTTTTATAATTCTTAATTACAGTTATCTGCAGTCCTATTTTGTCCACAACTGACGAATCTCTACCCTCATATGTTTGCTAATTCCAATAGCAATTGTGGAAGAGAAAGCACAAAAAGTCAAGTATATTTGATAAATTCCAGGAACAGGACCGTATTTGTTTAATTAGTGCGATATGACATGTACATAAATTTTTAAAAAATTTAAAATACATAGATTCTTCAACAAAAACTAAATGGCATCCCCAATTCCATGTTTGTCTGTATTCTATGAAGTGCTTTACTATTGTTCTTGTATTATAACAATATTAGAATATTAATCTTTAGGAATATACGTGTTAAGTAATATAAGACAAACAAGTAAATCGTAATATAAGACAAACCAATACAATTATACAACAAAAAAATATTTTTTTTTCTTAATATCTTAGTATTTTCATCAAGATTGTTCTTTTTTATTTAGTAGAAAGGTATGCATAATATTCGTTTCTCGACTATCATTTTTACTCAAAACTCATATTTTATAAATTTCATTAGCAAACCATGCACTGGTGGACCCAAGGTGGGTCACTTGACCCACTAACTTTAAATTGAATGGTTCGTTTTTTATTTTTTCAAAAATCAGTTTTGAAGCTTTAAGAAATTATTTCTTTTGTATTTTCTTATGAAATGGAATTAGGGATTCCCTCAAGTCCTCCAAATTCTATCTTGTTTTACCGATTTTATGGTAATAGCTTAGTGCTGTTTTAGCGATTTTATGGTAATGGATTCATGCTATGATTTTTGTTTTTGTTTGAACTAGAATGGAGTTGATAATGTAATATTCAGAATTTGCTATGTTTTTTGTATTTTTCATTTGAATTAATTGTTTTCATTAATCGTGATGGAAAAATAATTTAAACGTAAATATGATTTTTCTTTTGATGATCACAATGTTAATGAAAAGATTATTCGAAATAAAAGTGATGAAAATGATGTTGGAGATAAAAAAAGATTACAAACTTGGTCATGTTTAAAATAAACGTAAATTTGTATTATTTGCAAGTTTGATTATGTCCCACCAATTCAAAATATCTGCGTCTGCCACTGAGACCATGTTATTCACGCCAATTGAAGAAATAATCTCCTCTATTATTTTCGTTATAACTTAATCAAAATGTAATGGCCTTGAGATCTCAGTTTTTAGCTCATCATTAACTCATGAACTTGGGGTGTATTTAAGCCCCATTATTGTTCAGAATGTATTTTGTAATGATGATTTTTTTGAAGAATATGTAGTTAAAAAATATGAAAAATTTTAGGTTTATGTATAAATTATTTTATTGAAAGAATGTGTAGTTAAAAATTAATGTGAAGACGAAAGAATTTTGTAAAAAATGAAGAAATTTAACTTTATTTAACTTAGACGAAAGTAATCTCTTGGTCTGAATAATTTATTATTTCCCCATGCTTGACATATAGATAAGAGATCGATGTCCACTACCATTTGGTGATGCAAATTTTAATGATGAGACATCATTTTAAAGCGATGTCCCCTGGCATGCACCGACAAGTTAAGTTGAGAAGAACAATTCTTTTGTTTGATTCCACTTTATATATAATTAATTAAATCTCCAATAATTTATATATCCAATATATATTTTAAAAATCTGTTTTTTGATTTTTTTTTTCCCCCTTTTAACTTACCTTTTCTTCTGTATATCAAATTCATTGTTTGGCCAAAAAGTCTTGATAGTAGTGAGACTTGAATTCAAAATGTTCATTTAAACTAATTCGTATAAAATCTAAACTATCAGAGGGTCGATAAATTTATTAAAGGGTGTGTCCACAACTCCAAATTTATTGGATTTTAAGAAATTATAAATATAATGGATTTATTGGATTTATTTCTATAGAATCTTAAGAATTTATTTAAAATGGTGAAACTTAATGAGAATATAATGAACTTCGTGAATTTGAATAAGTTTTTGTATAAATTTATTCAAATTCACAAAATTCATTAAATCTTTTAAAACCCAATAAATTTCAGTTGAGGACCGACATGATATTTTAGACCTTGTTTGAGCCCCATTTTTGTGGAGAAAAAGATTTTTTGAATAGTGTATTGATGGGAAATGTGTAGTTAAAAATAAGGAAGTTTTTTTTATTTGCATATAATATTATTTTATTGAAATTTGTGTGATTAAAATAATGTCAAGTCAATATTGAAGAATGTATTTTGATTGAAAAATGGGGCTCAAACAAGGGCTTAATATTTTGCATTGGGCAAGGTAAAGTTTCCGTTATATAAATCACGCTCTCCTATTTCAATATTCCGTTCAGCAATAATGGCTATGCTATCAACTCTTTGAAACTTTTTAAAACCCAGTAAATTCCAGCTGAGGACACACTGCACATGATATTATAAAATTTTGCATTGGGCCAGGCAAAGTTTCCATTATATAAATCATGATCTCCTATATCCATTTTCAACATTGATGGCTATGCTATCAACTCTTTGAAACATTTCTCTCGCTCTATATATATATATATATACAATTCTCACTATATCTCTGAGCTATGGCAGCCACTGTACAGGTTTTAACTTCAATCACAAGAAGGTCAAAGATCAGATTTCTAGCAATTTAAATTTTCTTTTGATGATTATTTTGTTTCACTGTTTTCCAATAGCATCAGTAAATTTAATTTCACTTTGAATGCTTTTTATTTTAGTTTTTGTTATCTTTGATATGTGTTATTGTGTTGAATATTTCGTTAAGCAACTATTCAAAAAAGTAAAATTCTGGCAAGAGCTCACTTGAAAATTCATCCATGCCTAACACATTGGAGAGGAGTATGATGTGGTTTGACAAATAAGGCACAAAGCCTAAGCTACATTTTTAGTCATTCTTTATTAAATTATGCTATTTTTATTAATTAGAGTCCTTTTTTTAATTTAATTTTATAATGAGAGGCTGTAATTTCACTTTTATTTAGCAAAGAGCTGTATCAGTAGCCTTGGACTTATTTTTGCTTTGGGAGTTTTTGTTCAAATTATTAAAATTGAGGGGCTTTCCAATTTTCTTAATCCTTAACTAGGAATACATAAGAATTAACGATTTGTTGATCTACTCAACTTTTGGTAGTCTTTTGCAAATCAATGAGTCTTGACTTCCTAAATTCAACATGTTTTTAGGCCCACTCTTTGTTTTGGGATATTTATTACTTCGAGCTGCACCTCAGAATCGTGTTAAACTAGCTCATCTATAGACTATAGTGATTAAATAGTAAAAAAAAAATCCTTTATTCATAATTTATCTTAACAAATATATAATTTATTTTTAATTTTGTCAAATGCTAGACACAATCAAATTTTCATAAATAGGAGATCAAAATTTATCTTTTTCATCAAATATTCAAAGGCACAAAATATCTTTAATCAAATACCACTTTAAACTAAGGCTAAATTATTTTGCCTTTATGTTGCATAGGCTAGAAGGAAAAGTTGCCCTTATAACAGGAGGAGCCAGTGGAATTGGAGAATGCACTGCAAAACTCTTCTCTCAGCATGGAGCCAAAGTTGTCATTGCTGATGTCCAAGATGAACTAGGTCACTCAGTTGTCGAAGCCATTGGCCCTATCAATTCCACCTACATCCACTGCGATGTTACTAATGAAGACGATGTCAAAAATGCCGTGGACAAAACAGTTTCAATCTATGGAAAACTGGACATTATTTTCAACAATGCAGGAATTGCCGATCCCAACAAACCCCGTATCATAGATAACGAAAAAGCAGACTTTGAACGCGTTCTCAGTGTAAATGTCACTGGAGTTTTCCTATGCATGAAGCACGCGGCACGAGTTATGGTGCCAGCACGTAGTGGCAGCATAATTTCCACTGCCAGTGTAAGCTCAGCTATCGGCAGTGCTGCCTCACATGCTTATTGTTGTTCAAAGCATGCTGTATTAGGCCTTACTAAGAATCTGGCAGTCGAGCTTGGACAATTCGGCATTAGGGTTAATTGCTTGTCTCCTTATGCGCTCGCGACGCCTTTGACCAAGAAATTTGTAGGGATTGAAAATGACGAAGATTTGGAAAATGCCATGAGCCTTATGGGAAACCTGAAAGGTACAAATTTGAAGGCTGAGGATGTTGCCAATGCAGCTCTTTATCTGGCTAGTGATGAGGCAAAATATGTGAGTGGCCACAATCTGTTCATTGATGGAGGGTTCAGCGTCTACAATTCTGCAATTAAAATGTTTCAATATCCAGATTCTTGATCATCCAAATTCATCAAGTAAAATGTCTCTCGTTTGAAGTATCTGCAAATTTTACTATGTTTCCATTGTTGTTGCTGAATAAATCGCGAGAGGATTTATAACGATTTCAGTGTTTCCATTTTTCCTCTATTTTTATACCATGTTTTGTTTGTATTTATCCAGTAGCAGTAGGTAGATTTTTTACACGCTGAAAATTTTAGAAACGAAAAATTTAAATAAAAAGGTAGAAACTTTATTAGAAACTATAAATAAAAATATAAAAACTCTAGAAAGTAATTTAGAATATATTAAAAAACAAAATACTGAAATACTAAAAAGAAAATTTAACAATAAAGGAGAAACAGATACTAGTTCTAACTTAGAGAAATTGGAAAATAGAATTAAAATATTAGGGAAAAAAATCAATAAATACTAAGCAAGATTTGGATAATATAATAAATAAATTAGAAGTGGGTAGATTTTTATAACAAAAATTGTAGTGTTTCCATTTTTCCTTGATTTTCATACCGTGTTTTGTTTGTATTTATCCAGTGGAAGTGGGTAGATTTTTACACGCTGAAATAGGTATTTCTTACTTATCAAAATAATAGACTACAATGAATTTATAGAATATACACGTTGAACTATTCTAGGATAACGAAACCTATCTTAAGAAACTGCAACAAGCCTAATTACAACTATTACAAAATATTTCTGCAAAACCCAAAAAGAAAAAAAAAATCATAGAATAGAATTTAATTAATCTAGATTCTATATTTTATATTTTGGGAATTTTGGGGTACTAAAGTGATATATATGTTAATTCAATTTTATTTGGGTCAAATATTTAAATTTCGATAGAGTCAAGATTAGTATATCAATATTGGATTTGTTGGATATCTCGTAATTAATTATGTATTTTGGGCTCGAAAAAAGTTAATTTAGATAAGCTAAGCCTAAGTTATTGGAATTTAAAGAAGTTATTATTTAGTATTTGAATAACTTTTGGATTCCAAACTCTGAAGGATGGTTAAAGAGCAGCTTAGTACGTGTATGGTTAAAAAGGGATAAAGTAGTTTCCTATTGACTTTGAATGGGATAATTTTAAGGGAAAATTGCAGTTGAGGTATCAAATTTTTTGTTTATTAGCAGACTTTGCTCAAATCTTTAGTTTGTGTCACCCACGATACTAAACCTTTCAAAAACTCGCAGTAGAAGTCCAAATGGATGAAAACTGTTAATTTGATCGTCAGTTGATCAAAGATTTAACATTGACTATTATTTTGACTAATTTTAAAAGAATAAATTGGTAACTTCACATTTTTCAACAAAAAAAAAAAAAATTACAATATATTAATAATTAAATCAAAACACAAAAATACTATTCATCTTCTTCTCCACCCCCACCCACCCCCCCCCCCC